TTTTTTTTTTTTTTTTTTTTTCATTATGTGGCTATGTACACAAGTAATCTTATGGTAAATAAATTTTGTAGGATATCTACCTTCATAACCCTGATGTAAGGTGGGATGACATTATTGGCCTGGACGCTGCTAAGAGACTTGTCAAGGAAGCTGTTGTTTACCCAATTAAGGTTGGCATTTAAAACCTTTTATAAGTGCTAAGCCAAGTGTCAAACAAGAATGACAGTTGACAGTATATTGTTTATACTTTCACTCTTGTTTGGCCAGAAACTTTCATGTGGCCTAATGGCGATTCTTCTCCTTGTTTGAAGTGGGGCTAACACAGACATCGATCATCCTTTGTCGGTTGACTGGCAATTACCAGTAAACTTGTTGTGCACATTTTGGTCATCTGTCGGCTGACAGATGGCCCACAGACAATCAACAGGCAGCCAACAGTCAACCGACAATATGTTTTGGGGAGATGCTGTCCGCAATAACCAATCCTTGTGAACTCAAGTTCATTCTAGTCATGATCCTATGACCAAATTGTACTTATTTAGAAGGGTGTGTCCTCTTTCAGCTCTTTCAGACTCGTAAGACTAAAAAAGGTGTTGTTGTCATTATTTCAGTACCCTCAACTTTTCACTGGTATTTTGTCACCGTGGAAAGGGCTTCTGTTATACGGACCTCCAGGTTGGATATTTTTAATGTCTATCATTAAACTTTAGACTGACGTAGTTTCACTTGGAATTGCAAATACAAGTAGAAAATGTTTTGTTTAGGATACTGCTTAACAATTGTTTGCATCAGTTCTGTTGTTAGTGTTTTCTCAATGTCAAACAGTTGTCTATCCGTGATTGTTTGCCCACTTACAGTTCTACTGTTGATTGGGACATTGATTACTTATGTAGGCTAAAAGATATTTCTATCCAGTTGTACATACCATACAGTTCCGCTAAAAAGTAAGTTATATATACCACCGTCTCGAGAGACGCGTCTCGTTTTACTCGAGTTATTTCTCGTTTCTCGCGAGTGCACTGTAACTACCAAAGTTTTACATTGTAGTGACACACTATGCCAGTGTTCGAATACAATGATGTAAGAGTTAGGTATTACAAACTTGCGTTTGCGAATAGCATCGAAGGTTGATTTACACGTGGTGAGAATTAAACGTTTGATAGTGTTCATTTAGAGTGGCCAAAATTCCGTAATTCTTGAGAGAGACTTGTTGAACATCAGCTTTTTTTGGTTTAGTACTACTGTATATGCAAATAAAGTATCAAAGTTTGCGATCGGTAGCCCTGTGGAGAAGTCGTGGATCGCCGGCAAGTATATCATTTTCTAGACAAAAACATCATAGCCGATTTATAGAATTGATGTTCTTTTCCCAATGATGGGTCAAGCTACATGCTTCAACCATCCACTTCCCTCCAACCATAAAACTTCCCGTTCTTCCTCTCCCTAAAAACCAAGAATACGTTAGAGAAATCGTTTATAATTAGATCAGAATCAGCTGCATATTGTTAGTTGGCAGAAGAAGACTTTCCAAGAAGGCCCAATTTTACTTTTTGGAGGTTTGCACGTGTATTATACTCCATTATATATTTAAAATGATTATCGTGTACAGCAGCAGTTCACTGAATATATACATTTACCTTCCAAGGAACGGGGAAGACACTTTTAGCCAAAGCAGTTGCCACAGAATGCAAGACAACCTTCTTCAATATCTCAGCGTCATCTATAGTCAGCAAGTGGAGGGGGGACTCGGAGAAACTCGTTAGGGTAATGATTTATATGTTATTTGTTGTTATTGTTCTTCTTCTTCTTCTTCTTCTTCTTCTTCTTCTTCTTCTTCTTCTTCCTCTTCTTCTTCTTCTTCTTCAGTCACTACACAATTGGTTGATGATTACAATGGTGAAGTAAAACTGCGTATTAGTGCACTTTCTGACATAAAGCACCCGGCGCAAACGCTTGAAGTAGCCGGTGACTTGCTTCGGGCACCGGCTAATTTTGAAAACCCTGAACTTGTACATGTAGGTGTACTCCACTGAATCGTTACAATAGATCTGTTCTTTTTGCAGGTTTTATTTGAACTTGCCCGTTTTCATGCGCCATCTACAATCTTCCTTGATGAACTGGAATCTTTAATGAGTCAACGAGGAACGGGGGGAGGAGGGTAAGTGAAAACCCTTTACAAGTCCAAGACAAACAGGGGAAGGGCGGGTAATTGAATCCCTTGTACGTTAAAGAGGAATATTATGGGGAGGAGGGTAAGTAGGTATTAGGAGGCGAATCACGATGGGTGGGGAGGCGGTATAGTTTGCTATTATAAATCACTTTAAGGAAAGATGAACAGTGCGCGCCCTAGCAAATTGTCAGGAGTTAAGTGGTCCAGTAATTTTGACTGGTCAACTGCCCGATTATGCCAGATTTTTGAACAGTGAAACCCCGCTTCTAATCTCCGAGATAAACGCCTGGAAAATCGGCTGAACGAAACATTTTTGACCAACTTTGTCATGTGAACATGTCTGTTTCAAACATCACTCAAATCACCAACTGCTGCTTAAAGGTGTATAATAAAGTATGGAGATCGCTGGGTCAATTCACGAGTTGGCTTACAGAGCCTTTGATTCTTTCTTTAAAGGAGCGAGCATGAAGGAAGCAAGCGAATGAAGACAGAACTTCTGGTTCAGATGGATGGTCTTGCGCGATCAGATGATTTAGTCTTTCTACTGGCTGCATCCAACCTACCATGGTAAATTTAAAAAAGTGTAGATTGATTGTCGATGACTTTCAAACTAGCTGTTAGTACAGGATCGAGTGGAGTCCTTTGGGTTGGTCTGTAATCATACAAGTGATTAACAAAAAATCGGAATATCGCGACTCCAGTGAAGGACAATTTGTCAATAACGAGTATGATTACAGACAAATTGGACGATAGGATCGAAGTCTTAATGCTAATTGATCAAAGCTAAAACAAAACGTGAGACATCGGTTAGATGTTTTGGTAATTACAATTAGCGACTTGGCTGAAACAAAAATTGCTCAAGTATGACGATATTCTATCTTGTGAGCCTGTGAACAACCAATTAGATTCGAGAATTTAGTAATTAACAGTTTCAATTACAGCCTACATGTATACTCGGTGTAGTTCCTCATTTTTGTCAGGGTTTATGAGGGACTACTCTTAGTTTGATTATCGACGAAAAGAAAAAAAACTCTCTCATACGCACATGGAAGAAAATAAATACCGACGTGCCGTAGAGAAGTGAGCTTAGAGCGAGCCGCCTCGGACTTTCAAAGAAGTACAAGTGTAGTTTCTCATGTAGAGGGGTGGTGAATACGGGTAAGCAAACCGGTAGATCCGTGCTATATTGTTGCCTAATCCTTCAATCCGTTTTAATAATAATAATAATAATAATAATAATAATAATAGTAATAGTAATTCTAATAGTAATAGTAATAGTAATAGTAATAGTAATAATAATAATAATAATAATAATAATAATAATAATAATAATAAGGACTTTATTTCGGCATTTCCACAAAAGAGAAAATGGCTCTACATCCGAAGGTAAAACTAACTACCTTACTAATACCATAAGAAACAAAACTACTATATTACACTACACTATATTCTTGATCATGCCATGCTGCGTTGATTGGAAAAGCGAATTCTTGTCGACCTTCCTAGCTGGGAGGCCAAGTCCGGAACCAAATTGTTTGAAGAATTTGTGTGATGTAGTCCGTGTACATCGATACGTGCATCTCTCTGACCATTGTGTCTACAACATTTTATTGATTTTGCAGGGAACTTGATCACGCCATGCTGCGTCGATTGGAAAAGCGAATTCTTGTCGACCTTCCTAGCTTGGAAGCCAGGGAAGCCATGTTGAAACAGTATCTGCCTCCTGTTATTCACTCCGTGGAGGGAAGTGTTGAGATCAAATCACAGATCGACTATGAAGAACTAGCAAAGGTACATGCTCGTCCGTTTTGAAAACACTGAAAGGTTCTAGTTCACAATACACTGTAGAAAGTCTCTCTTGGATTTGTTAGCATTGAATTTGTCAAACGCTTTGTCGTTTTCTTGTTTAAAAAAAAACATATTCCGTATATCGTTTTCGTGTGTAAATTTTTTCAGTACCTAAGTAAGAGCTGCCAGACGTTGCAACTCCTGCTGAAAATTACTTGGAAACAATTTGGTTCGACATCTTAGTGTTCTTGAAAGTTGATGTTTCCATGGCAACCGTAGTTTTTCGTAATGTGACCTTGTCATCCCATATTGGTCAGTTACATCAAAGGAAAGATTTTTGGACTTACATCATACCGTAAAAGTTTCATTTTAAATATGTTACGAAGGTGAAGGGGGCGGAATCCGGATTTTAACATCCTCCAGAGTTTTCGTGAGAGGTCGCGCTTTATTTTTGAATAACAAAATTTGAAAACTGCACAACCTTTCCAACCGACTGCTAATATTTGAGCAGGTCTTCAGTGCCGTTTCTTATTTCATACTTTACCTTGGTCTTTTCTTCAGAGTACAGAGGGTTATTCTGGTTCAGACATTCGACTGCTTTGTAAAGAGGCCGCCATGAGAAAAGTGAGGAAGATATTCGATCTGTTGGAGAGTCATCAAACAGGTGGGAATCCTAATGTTTCATGTTTAAATAAAAATCAGTTACGATATTTAGAGAGGAAGGAAGACACATCAGACATAGCTGGTTTTCATGAAGGTCATCTAACCTGGTCGAACTGGAATTTGGAAATGTTGGTTTTTGTAGAGGGAGGAAAACCAGAAAAACCGGAGAAAAACCCTCGGAAAAAAGGGAGAACCAACAGCAGACTCGACCCACATATGGCACCGGGCCAGAATCGAACCTGACCCACATTGGTGAGAGGCGAATGCTCTCACCACTGCGCCATCCGTGCTCCCACATACTCTTCGAAAGCGCCGCTTGCGCGCGTTTGTCACTTGCGAATAGCACCAATTAATTATGGTGTACCGCTAAATAATATAAGCTTTGCGAGCGGTCCATCGCTTATTTCTTTGCTTTCTTTGACGACCAGTAGCAATATTTGTCTTTGCTTATCCAGAAGGTGAAGATGGGCGCTCGACACCGCTGCCCAGACTTGAAATTGAGCCCGTGAACACTGAGGACGTCGAGGCAGCGTTGAAACACACAAAGCCATCAGCCAGACAGCTGAAGGACAAATACAAAGACTGGCAGAAGGAGTACGAGTCTGTGTGAGCCATGTCTCTGCTTGAGAAGCAGCGTATTGATCGCTTTCTCGGTCGATTATTCACTGATGTCGCGTGACGTGTTGTCAGATTGAATGGAAACGTGACAGCGGTCTTTTCTCTGAATGTTTGAGGGATATTCTCATCAAATAGCAACTGTTCCCCGAGTGTCAACGTCACATCCGACCGAGAAGGCGGAGGCATTCGGCTTCGACTTACAGCCGTGAGCAAGTCACATAGGAGAGACAAAGAGGAGACGCGCTGAGTTGCAAGTAAAACAAGAGCTAAGATAAAACTTATAGTATGACGTGATAAGTATAACAAGACAGTTATTCACTGAAGCACCAATAGCGATGTTTCGGGTTACGTCATCTGTATTTTATTAAGATGTGCAAACCTGAGATCCACTCGCTGTTCAGACAAAAAAAAAATTCACAAACAGAATTCAATGTTCAAAGATTGTACAAATGTAAGTTAAAGTAATTAAATAGTAGAGATCTGTAGATCTTCTACGGTTGCAACAGAATGTAGCTTTTAGGTGAGGTAACGCCATATTTCTGGCAGCCTAAGTGACGGGCGCACAAAAGGGAGGCCTGGGGAGAGATCATTTGTTCACAATTTCCACATTTCCTTTTTGCCCCTGTCTGTTATTGAGGATGCTGACTTTTGCTGAAGATAGCAGGCTCAGGGATACAAATAACGTAATTTCTTTAGGTCTTACTGAGGTTTGATTCTTTCCTTGTGATGTTCTCTAGTTATAAATTTCAGTATCATCACAATGCAAA